GGCATAACATTATGATAAAGGAGTCAATTCAAAAAGAGGATAGAATGGCTGTACATATTTATGCGCCCAACACAGGAGCACCTCAGTAATATAAAGCAAACATTAAGAGACCTAAAGAGTGAAATACACATCAATATAATAACAGTAGGCGACTTTAATGCCCCACTTTCATCAATGGATAAAACATGTAGACAGAGTCAACAAGAAAATCCTGGCCTTAAATGAAACATTAGGCCAGGTAGATTTGATAGATTTGTACAGAACATTTCATCCAAATGCAACAGAATACACATTCTTCTAAAGGGCATGTGGAACTTTCTCAAGAATAAACCATATTTTGGTACACAAGTTTCAATAAATTTAAGAAGACTGGAAAAGATGCTTGTAATAATTTCAATCACAATGGTATGAAACTAGAAATAAACTACCAGAGGAAAGCTGGAAAAGTCACAAATGTGTGGAAACTGAACAATATGATACTGAACAGCTACTGGGTCAATGAAGAAACCAAAGGAGAAATAAAAAATTACTGGAAGACAAAAATGAAAATACGACATATTAAAATCTATGCAATGCAGCAAAAGCTATAGTAAGAGGGAAGTTTATAGCAATACAAACTAGAAAGGAATTAGGAAAAGAACAAATGAAACCCAAGGTTAGTAGAAGAAAAGAAATAAACATCAGAGGGAAAATAAATGAAATAGAGACTAAAAAGACAATAGAAAAGATCAATGAAACCAAGAGCTGGTTCTTTGAATAATATAAATAGTATAATAATATAAATAGTATTGACAAACCTGTAGCTAGATTCACCAAGAAAAAACGAGGTCTCAGTTGATACCACAGAAAAGACCATGAGATTGCTTTGAACAATTATACTCCATCAAATTGGACACCCTAGAAGAAATGGACAAATTTCTAGCAACATACAACCTACCATTACTGACTCGAAGAAACAAAATCTGAACAGACTGATTACTAGTAAGGAGATTGAATCAGTAATCAAAAACCTCCCAACAAACAAAAGTCCAGGACCAGAAGGTCCTAGTGAAGTCTACAAAACATTTAAAGGAGAAGTAATACCAATCCTCAAACTCTACAAAAAAATAGAAGAGGAGGGAACACTTCTAAACTCATTTTACCAGCTAGCACTACCCTGATAGCAAAAACCAGACAAGTACTGATTAATATAGATGCAAAAATCTTCAACAAAATATTAGCAAGTCAATTTCATCAATACATTAAAAAGACATACACCATGATCAAGTGGGATTTATTCCAGGGATGCAAGGATGTTTCAACATCCACATAATCAATGTGATAGGCCACATTAACAAACTGAAGAACAAAACCCATATGATTAGTAGATGCAGAAAAGCATTTAGCAAGATTGAACACCAATTTATGATAAAAACTCAATATGGGTACAGAAAGAACACACCTCAACATAATAAAGGCCATATATAACAAGCCCACAGTTAATATCATACTCAATGGTGAAACGCTGAAAGCTTTTAAGATCAGGAACAGACAAGAGTGCCCACTCTCACCACTTTTGTTCAGTGTAGTATTGGAAGTCCTAGCCAGAGCAATTAAGCAAGAAAAAAGGCATCCAACATGGAAAAGAAGTCAAATGTCACTATTTACAGATGACATATTATATATAGAAAACCCTGAGGACTCAAAAAAACTGTTAGAATAAATATATTCAGTAAAGTTGCAGGATACAAAAATCCATATACAAATATCTGTTCCATTTCTACACATTAACAAACAATAAAAAATCATCCCATTTACAAGTGAATCAAAAAGAGTGTCTAGAAATAAATTTAACCAAGGTGGTAAAGGACCTAGACAGTGAAAAACTAAGACATTGATGAAAGAAATTGAAAACAAATAAATGGAAATTATTCTGTGCTCAGGGATTGAGAGAATATTGTTCAAAAATGTCCATACAACCCAAAGTAATATGCAAATTCAATTGATTCCTATCAGAATTCCAATGGCTTTCTTTATAAAAACAGAAACAGAACAAACAATCCTAAAATTTGTATGGAACCACAGAAGATCCTGAATAGCTGAAGTAATCTTAAGCTGGAGGCTTGGAACTTGGAACTAGAAGTTTGTACCTTTTCTCCATTTTCCCACCCCATCCCCCGACAACCACCATTCTATCTCTGCTTCTGTGAGTTTGTCGTTTTCCGTTTAGAACACTATATGAAGGTTAAATTGTGCAACTAGTAGCAGGCCACGAAGAGGAAAAGGCCATACAATGCAGACTTAGTTGAGCCACAAGCACTTTCCAGTAGGAAGTCTGTGTCTGGAGGGGGCTGTGCATGCCTGTCTCACAGGCCTTCATAACAACGGACGGTCTGCAGGTGACTTGGAGGAGCGCTGACAACTGCCCAGGACCACAGGACTTCCACCCTTCCATCCCTCACAATGCCCTGCAGTGCTGAAGGACATCCTACCTTGCACAGGACTCACTCCTCAGGCACCTGGAACAGGGGTTGAGGAGCTGATTCTTCCCTCCGCCTCCTCCCATCTTCCTCTCCTGTTTCTCCCTGGTCTCCTGGTTCTGCCCAGCAGTATTTCAGGCCCAGAAAGGCTGCCCTGGTGTGGGTGTCCACGTGGACATGGGCCCAGGTGGACCCAATGACACCCAGTCCTTTTCAGCTCATGGTAAATTTAGAGCCATGTGTTTACACACTAACTCGTCAGCAACATATATGATTTTATGTTTCCAATTTATTTTAGGGGACACTATGGGTCAAAATACAAAGAGAGTTAAGTCCTACCTATTATGATTGTTTCATTAAGGGAAAAAGTCAAACATTTTTGGAGCCAATTCAAGTAAGCAACACGGTAAAAATGTTCTGCGTTTCCTGACCAACTGTTTCCTTGCTTTAATTCAGCCATAAGAAAGAAGGAAGCCTCACCATTTGTGACCACATGGATGGTTCTTTAGTGCATTATTCTAAGTGAAATAAGTCAGACAGAGGAAGATCTCACTTACATGAGGAATCTTAAAAATTAAGCTCATAGGGACTTCCCTGGTGGTGCAGTGGTTGGGAATCTGCCTGCCAATGCAGGGGATGTAGGTTCAAGCCCTGGTCCGGGAGGATCCCACATGCTACGGAGCAACTAAGCCCGTGCGCCACAACTAATGAGCCTGTGCTCTACAGCCCTCGAGCCACAACTACTGAGCCCGAGTGCCACAACTACTGAAGCCCGTGCACCTAGAGCCCGTACTCTGCAACAAGAAGCCACAGCAATGAGAAGCCCGTGCACTGCAATGAAGAGTAGCCCCCGCTCGCCACAACTAGAGAAAGCCTGCGTGCAGCAATGAAGACCCAACGCAGCCATAAATAAATAAATAAATTTAGCTCACAGATAACCAAGAATAGTTGCAGTTGCCAGAGGTGGGGAGTGTGGGGGTGCACAAAATGGGTGAAGGGGTTCAAAAGCTACAAACTGTCTGTTATAAAGTAAATAAGTCACGGGGATGTCATGCACAGCACGGTGACTATAGTTATTAAAACTGTGCTGCATCTTTGAAAGTTGCTAAGAGAGTAAGTCTTACAAGTTCTCATCACAAGAAACAAATCTGTGTAACTGTGTGTGGTGATGGATGTTAACTAGATTTATAGTGATCAGTTCACAAGATATACAAACACTGAAACATTATGTCGTACACCTGAAACTAATATCGTGTTCTATGTTAGTTATACCTCAATGAAAAACAAAAAGTAAAGCTGTGGCAGCATCCTCTGAAGTCTGCTCCTTAGTTTTAACTCTAGGGAGATGTGAGGCCTGCATATGCTAAGGGCCCCACAGGGGACCTGACACCCCCGGTCACGTAAGGTAGATAGCTAGTGGGAAGCAGCCGCATAGCACAGGGAGATCAGCTCGGTGCTTTGTGATCGCCTGGAGGGGTGGGATAGGGAGGGTGGGAGGGAGGGAGACGCAAGAGGGAAGAGATATGGGAACATATGTATATATATAACTGATTCATTTTGTTGTAAAGCAGAAACTAACACACCATTGTAAAGCAATTATACTCCAATAAAGATGTTAAAAAAAAAAAGATCCAGTAAGGAAGAAAAAAAAATAAAGTGCCATTATTGCTCTCAAAACTTAAAATCAAATTAAAGTTTACTGTATCTTGGAGAGTAAACAACCCCAGAATCGTGGGTCAGGCAAAGGGTCATATTAAAAATCTTCTCCCACTGGCCTTTGCCACAAAATGCAGAGCTCTCTCAGAGAATGAGGTGGAAGATCACCGCAGATGTGAAAAGGGCCCAACTTTTAGAAAGCCTTGAATCATACGAGAGGGGTATGCGTATTCTAATTCTCGCTGTCACAAAGCACTACCCCTTTCTGATCCATTTTAAAGGATTTCTCCCGAAATTTCCACTCTTTGTATCAAATTACATCATCTCATAAAGACCTGGGAGAAAGACAGCTGACAGTAGTCTCATTTCAAAGTGTGATAAGTTATGGTTTTGGTATAAATAATGTATGGACTTAAAATAACGTGAGCGTTAGAAGACATACACTCTGCAACCGTCTGATATTGTTCAAGTACGTTACCGTTGTGGGGGAACTAACCACTGAAAATTAACAGAAGCCCGGGGGTGGACGCCCCACTTCCCTTTCTCTCACGGCCAGACCTGCACTGCCCGCACCCTCGTCGCCCTAGAAGGGCCCGACAGTTCGCGTATTCCCGTCACGAGTGTCCACGTGTTGCCCTCTCTCCGAATCTGTGTAGGGGTTCCTCCCTCAAAACAAGCCTGAATCCATAGCAAACACCACAGCATTCTATGATTATCCATCCAAACTCTCAACGACGGTTGTTCTTGGGTTTTGTTTTTGAAGAGTCAGTCCTGCTGAAATACTACCTGGGAAAGTAGAGAATAAACCACGCGGGATCGTCCAGGAAATCAAGGGGCTCTGCTGCAGTTTAAGGAAGTCGTCGGGGAGACGCGCCCACAGCCCCTTTAGCCCTTGGCATGGACAGGTAGCGTTCTTCTCAGGGCGACGCGGTCCCATGTCGTCCGGAAGTTGGCGGCGCGCTCTGGCGAGTCATCGGAGAAGGAAACGCTTTCCTCACCGAGGACGCCGTGACGTTAGCAGGCGGAATGCGCAAGCGCGCCAGGAGGGTCCCCGCAGGAGGGTTCGCGCCGCCTGCAGTCTGAGGGGCCGTGGGGCAGTAGAAGACGCGCGGAGCTCGCTGTTCGGTGCTTCCTGGCGCCCTCTCCTAGTCTCTGTCTGAGTAACTGAAATCAGTGTTGGATTATTCAAGGCCACGATTTTGAAAGTTAACACCAAATGGAGCCTACCACACCGTGCTTTGATTGGAATGGACGGAGATAACAAGAAGCAAAGTATGTCAACTGCATTCCCATACACTAACACTTAATGATTGGAACTGGAAAGAAAAACAATGCAATTTTCAATGCATCCCCCCCAAATAATCCTCAAGTATAACTCCAACAAAATATGTACAAGTCTGTGTGTAGAAAAAAAATCATTGTTGAAAAAAAAACCACAAAGAAAATGTAAATCAGGGGAGAGGTATCCCTTGATCATGATCGAAAGACACAATATTGTTATGATGTTTATTATTCCCAACTTGATCTATAAATTCGGTGCAATCCCAGTACAAATCAAGCTATTTTGAAGCTATCAGCTAACTCTATTAAAACTTGGAGTAGACTAGGTAATATTGAAGAACAAAGTTGATGAACCATACTTCCTAATCCAAACTTTATTATAAATCTTCAGTAAACAAGAGTGCCTGACATTGGAGAAATAATAGACAGATAGAAAAAAAGAACAGAACAGAGAGTGTACAAACAGACCCAGGAAAATACAGTCAAATGATCGTAGTAAAAGAAGAAAAGGCAACTCAATGGGAAATACAGTCTCTCAACAAAAGATGATGGCACAAATGGATGACCATATGCAATGAAATGAACAAAGACACAAAACTTATATGTATGTTGACTCAAAATAGTTCATATACTTAAACGTAAAATTTAAAGCAAAAAGTGACATAAGAAAACAAAATATACACGAATTTTAATATACATTAATTAGCTTAATGTACAAAATCAAAACAACAATCTATGAGAAAAAAATTGATAATATGGACCTTATTAAGTTAAAATTTTTCATTCTACAAAAGAAACAATTCAAGCAATGAAAACACAAGTCCCAGACTGGGAGAAAATATTTGCAAAACATAAATGTTTAGGACTTGTACCCAAAATATACAAGGAACTTGTAAAACTCAACATAGAGAAAGCAAACTACCCAATTAAAAAATGGTTGAGTATCTGAACAGAAAGGTCATCATGCAAGATATACAGATAGGAAACAAACATACAAAAACATGCTCAATATTACTTGTCGTTAGGAAACAGCCAATTAAAAGAGCAACGAGATACCCTGCACACTTACTACAATAGCTAACACTGAAAAAACTGATAATGTGAGTCACAAAGGAGGATGGGGAACACCAGGAAATTTGATTCATTGCTGGTGGGAATGCATAATGTACAGCCACTTTGGAAGACATTTTGGTGGGTTCCTAGAAACGTAAGCATGGTCTCAGCATACGATGCATCATTTGTGTCCCTGTATTTTTGCCCAAATGGTTTGAAATTTTGTGTCCACAGAATAAACAGCATGCAATATATTCAGCAGCTTTATGCACAATGACCAAAATCTATGAGGAGCCAAGATGCCCTTCAGTAGGCAAACATAACCAAACTACGGCACAGTGGGTAGAGATACTTGAGGACAGACATGGAAAGCAAGCAGAGGGGGTTGGAGACATGGGAAGCCTGGATAGATGGGCTATGGCAAGACATATTTCCCTCCACACCACACTGGTCACGCAGTTGGCTTAAGCTCCGCCTAGTGCCCAACTTCCCCTTACCACTTACCCCCTTTACCATGTGAAAGAAAATCCTTTTTTTGGTTTGACTTTGAGATGCTTGCTGATCTCTGCAATAAGATAGTTCTCCCTATTGCAATAGCTTTTCTTTCTTTCTTCCCTTTTTTGGGCCGTGCAGCACAGTTTGCGAGATCTTAGTTCCCCGATCAGGGATTGAACCTGAGGAGCCATGGCAGTGAAAGTGAGGGGTCCTAACCACTGGACAACCAGGGAATTCCTGCAATAACCTTTCTTTCTATTTAAAGTCTCTCCCTGTAGAACTCTGGATTTGATTTTACTTGACAATAATCAGAATGGTATAAATATAAATAATTATAATACTGATAATAAATAATAGGTATATGATATCAGTCTATATATATTCGTGATTGTTTTAAGTTGCTGATCTCTTAATTCCAAATGCATTTTTAAATCCTTCATATATACTTTCCTCCCCTCACAATTACAGTTTTTGATATCATATCATACCTCCTAAAACAAAGGAAACAAAAGCAAAAGTAAACAAATGGGATCTAAGTAAACTTAAAAGCTTTTGCAAGCAAAAGAAACCATCGACAAAATGAAGGACAACCTACTGAGTGAGAAAAAACATTTGTAAATAATATGTCTGATAAGGGGTTAATATTCAACATATATGAACAGCTCATGGAACTCAACATCAAAAAAAATACCCAACTTGATTAAAAAGTGGGCAGAAGACCTGAATAGACATTTTTCCAAAGAAGACATACAGATAGCCATCAGGCACAAGAAAAGCTGCTCAACATCACTAATCATCAGGGAAATGCAAATCAAAACCACAATGAGATGTCACCTCACACCTGTCAAAATGGTTTTCATCTAAAGGAACACAAATAACAAATGTTGGCGAGGATGTGGAGAAAAGGGAACCCTAGTACACTGTTGGTAGGAATGTAAATTTGTGCATCCACTGTGGAAAACAGTATGGCAGTTTCTCAAAAAACTAAAAATATGACTACCATATGACCCGGCAATTCCACTTTAGTGTATATGTCCAAAAAACCCAAACCCACTAATTTGAAAAGATACATGCACACTAATGTTCATAGCAGCGCTATTTACAATAGCCAAGATATGGAAGCAACCTCGGTGTCCATCAACAGATGAATGGATAAATAATATGTGGTACATATATGCAATGGAATAAAACTCAGCCATAAAAAAGAATGAAATAGTGAAGTTTGCAGCTACATGGATGGACCTAGAGATTATCATACTAAATGAAGTAAGTCAGGTAGAAAAAGACAAATATTATATGATATCACTTATATGTGGAATCTAAAAAATAATACAGATTAGTTTATTTACAAAACAGAAACACACTCAGACATAGAAAACAAACTTACGGTTACCAAAGGGGAAAGGGGAGGGGGAGTGCTAAAATAGGAGTATGGGATAAAATTAGGAGTAGAGGACCCACACCACTACAGTATATGTAAAATAGATAAACAACAAGGATTTACTGTATAGCACAGGGAACTATATTCAATATCTTGTAATGACCTATAATGGAAAAGAATGTGAAGCTGTACACCTGAAACTAACACAATGTTGTAAATCAAGTACAGTTAAATTAAGAAAAAAGAAATTTTAAAGAAGAGGAAAGAGAAGACACTCCGTACACAGTCATCAGAGACTTATCCCCAAAGATTGGATAGGGAGTTGTAATGTTTGTGCGGATCCTAGGAGGATTGTTATGGGAAATCAAACCTAAAGTGCCTTTGTCTGGGTGTATTTGGAACAGGAGATCACAAATGGCTTATAGTCCTAGGAGGTCTGAGAAAGTTGTGCAATTATCCCCTGGAGCCAGATTCCTCTTTTTCACTCAGTACTGGTTGGACAGCCTCAGTGGAGAGAATGTCCCACATATATGGCTCAGGGTGGACTAGAGGATTCTGTGTGCCAGGGGGTGTCCAGTCACCTAACCTCCCTCTGCTTCCACAGGGTTGGGGTCCAAGACAGAGGAGGAATAGAATTGAGGGGACCAGTTTGCACAAGATGGAGCACTGAGAGCTGTGGCAGGCATTTACCCAGGGTCTGGGTGGTTTGGGTGGGACTCACAAGTTCTTCTGAACTAGGAGAGAGGGTGAAAGGGGAGGGGTCGCCAGTACAAGCATCAAGAAGGCAAAGCTGAGGAAGGACAGAGAAGCCACGGGACCCCAGTTTTCCAATTTCCAGACCCACATCTCATAAACATCAGTCCTTCACGAGGATGTGGCCCTAATCACTGGGAACATGCAGTGTGCTCTAAGAGAAAGAAGGGGAGGGCTTTCCTTGCCTATGGTCACAAGGAAGACGACTATGACTATTATTGCTAATGAATAATATATGAACACCTCCATTTGAGAGATAAAAATGTGGAAAACACGGAGGTGTGTATGCTTATTAGCCCACAGTGATGAGAAGTTCAGTTTATTCCATGATTCTAAATCATGATTGCAAATCCAAGTCAAACCTCTGCATACACTCATCCTGAATCATTCTAACTCCCTTTCACGTGGGGTCTCCAGCAATATCACTCCCTCAACTCTGACTTTTAAATGGAAAACTATTTTATTATCCCTTTACACAAACACAGCTAAATTACATGAACACACCGTAATTACACAGCTAATAAACCTACTCAGGACTGTTCTTCCCTGGGACACACTCTGTTCCCCTTGATTGGACTTACAAGACAAAAAGTTAAATGTCTCAAAATGATGGAGAACAAAAAGATAAGACCATTTAGGAGGGTTATTTGAAAATAAGATTCTTCATTTATTCACTCATATATAATTGGATTTCATTTTAGTTCAGTTGTATAAATTGTAGTTTTTCATAAAACCTTGGTCCAAATGCCAGTTTGGACTGGGGAGAAGAAAGTTATATCACTTAGGAAAAGTAACCATTTTCTTTTCCCTAATCTTCAACAGACACAATACAACATGTATAGCTGCTGCAACGTGGTACATGTCCCATGTACTGGAAAAATGCTAAGATATAATTACACTTCTGAACACTTGGTCAAGGCTTTACATGCTATTATCTCCCTAAGTTTCTAAAACATAAATTGTTTGCCGTCATCTGCAACATGACAGGAATTTTTAGGAAATCTTTGTGCATGATTTTAATTCCTAATCC